ATATATGATATATTTATTATATTATATATTCAAGGTTTTGTGTAAATATTTTCACACCAACCAAGCGCTACCAAACATATGAAATTGTTTACGCAATGCTTTTTAAATGTGCTACCAAACATCGTAAAAAGAATCCATATGCAAATATTTACATAGGTAAAGTGTTTACATATGTAAATATTTTGCGGGTAATATTTACGCGTGAACCAAACGTACCCTTAGCTTTGCGGCTTTCTGGGATAGTTTGTAGAAAGCTATCAGGGGCTTTTTGGGAAGAATGCATGTCTTTTCCAATAAACTATATTATAATCAATTAGTAAAATATTTATTAAAACTAGAATTTTAAATTATTCATTTTTAGAAAATAATATGTAAATTCGTATTGATGCGCAATTAATAATATTAGTTTCCGATAGGCCCTCGATTTCTCTAAATTCCAAAATTAATTTGATTCTTTTATTTTCACATCTACTGATAGGAATGTGTTCAAATTTCAACTAAAATTTTTGTCTTGCATGCTAGTTCAAATTTAGGCTTCACAAAACATGCCATACTTGAGAACTTCATGATATCAACCCCTGGAAACTCCCAAAGTCCTCTTTAGTGGTGAAGGTTGAAACCCAATTTGAATTGTCTAGCCAGGTCCAACATTGTTAGCTATCTTCTCTTCATTATACGAACTCCTTTCCTACTATCATCTTGTCCACTGTCTTCTTATGTGGAGAGCATTCCCCATATGACCAATGGAATCTTGATATCTCCTTGGTTTGCAACTTTAGGCATCTGTCTTTTGCAAAGCTAATTGTAGTTTCTGCTTTTGTTTCAATTGGCTCCTCATCGAATTGTCTAATATCAGCCATTAAAAAGTAGGGAAAATATCTTCGTACACCATCTTTTAGATATTTTTTCAATATTTTTTTTTAAAAAAGGAGAGGTGTTTAGGGATAAACACTAGAAGAGAGAGAGAGAGAGAGAGAGAGAGAGAGAGAGAGAGAGAGAGAGAGAGAGAGAGAAGGTAAGTAGTAAGAAGAGTAGTAGTAGTAGTACGTAGTTATTAGTTAGTTAAGTAAGTAAGTAGTAGTAAGTAGTAAGGTAAGGTAG